GGAGAGAGCAAACGCATTCGGCTGCATTCGGTCGCGCGTCGGGTCTTTGAGTGATGCAGCGGGTTGTGCAACGTGACCGTCCAGATCAAAGTCGTGGACGTCGGTCGTCACCTTCTTGACGAGGTCCGTGGTCGCACGGGCGTTCGTGGTCGAAAGCTGGGGCTGGGACATGACGCGGCTATCGATAACTCGCTCTTCTTCGAGGCTGCGGGGGGCGGGGTCAGGATCGTGGGTCACGGCAATGGAGGCAGGGTGCGGCTGGCTAGTGACACACCCCATGTACAGTAGAAGGGTAGAATGAGATGGACGGCTAGACGGCGCCCGTTGCCGCCATACGCCGAGCAGTCACGAAACGTTTCTTGTAAAACGAGAGTTGAGTTCAAAAGGCGAGTTGCCTCAGGTCATTGTCTCATGAACGCTCGACTGCGTCTTTTGTGCAAGGCATTCAAGCACGCGCCGTAGTCACACGCAACTCGCAGTAGATATTGTCGTATCCACCACTAACGTCCTTGGTACACCAACGCGCTTCTTTGTTTGTGTAATCGTACGTGGACTGGAACGGGGGACCTCTTTCGCAGCTAGAACAAACTCGTTTTTCACACACGACCAAACTCTTTTTGCAAGCACTCTGCACGCTTGGCTCGCCCTTCATCGCTGGAATCGCAAGCTTCAGTACGACGGTCCGTCGTGTATAGTCGCTGCCTAGCTTGGGTCCACATCAAGCGATCGAATTGGCTTGGCTAATCCCACGCCACGGATCGTCTAATGATAGCATACAAATGCAGTTGTCGATTTGGCGGCGGGCCCCATGACCGAGACTGCGGCGAAGAAGAAGAAGTGGCTCCAGAAGGAAAAAATCGGCCAAGGGTACTCCGCAAGCCCCATCAGGTGGGCTACCGACGACCTCATTTCGTGGCGTAGCGCGCATGGCATCGTGTACAAGTGCACGGAGATGCCACCGTCCACGCGCGTCGTGGCGCTCAAAGAGCTGAGCACGAAGGATCTCTCGGCCGATGAAATCGTAGATGCGGCGTCTGCTTTCAACGATACCAAACGGAAACGGTGTGTAGGATGCACTCATGCGCGAAGCCACCATCATGCACGGGCTCACACACAAGCACATTGTGCACTACGACGGGGTCAAGCAGAAGAAGCGCCGCCACACGTTGGAGATCTCGATGGAGTACATGCCGGGCGGCTCGCTTAGCGCGTACATCCGCGCGGTTGGCGGTGCTCTCACGCTCGAGCGAACGCAGCGCTATACGTGGCAGCTCCTGCGCGCACTGCAGTTTCTTCACGACCACCGCATTGCGCACCGGTACGCGTTGCCATCATATTTTGGAAGGCGCGTCATTCTCGTCAAGGGACATCAAGAGCGCCAATGTGCTATTGAATTTGGACCAATCGCAGCTCAAGTTGGCCGACTTTGGCGCGCTCAAGGAAATTGGAAGCGTCTCGGTCGTCGGGGGGCTCAAGGGAACGCCCCACTGGATGGTACTCCTGATACCATTGGCGAATGGTGTGGGCAAATGCGGCTGGTGTAGGCGCCAGAAGTCATCAAGGAGCAACAAACGAGCGAAGGGTAAATTACACACTGTCTATCGCTGCATGTTGTGTCGCTCACTCGATCCTCATGGTACATCTAGTTGGATCAAGGCCGATATTTGGAGCCTTGGCTGCACCGTGCTCGAGATGCTCACGGGCCAGACGCCGTGGCACGAGTTCAGCAACCCACTCACTGCCATGTACAAGATCGTCTCGAGTGACTCGATTCCAAAGGTCCCCAACGACTTGCCGGCCGAGGTACATACGTCGACTGCCTCCTCGTCCGAATCTCCGAGCCAAAATACTTCATAGGCAATTGCCTTCCTTCACGCGTGCTTCCAGCGTGACCCCAGTAAGCGGCCAGACGCCAAACAGTTGCTGCTGTCGCCTTTCTTGAAGAGTGTGCGACGGGAGCGCAAGAAGATCAGAGCGGATGCCACGTCACGCCCCCTCAGTAACTCCCCGCTCAAGACGGTGTCCACCACGGTGCGCATCGCACCTTTTTGATCAAGGCAAGCCAACGCACCACGTGTAGAAATCCAAGCCCAAATTGGCCGTCTCCGACAAGCCGGCAACACCGGCACTCAAGCTCTCCGTACGCTGCGCGAACGTTCGGCGAAGCTCAATAAATGGCGTGCACGTAGACGCCCGAAGAAGACGACGTTCCGATGCCCAAATTCAAAGTCCTCTCGATTTTACAAGCACCCGACGTCGTCCCGTCGCCTTCGATGCGTCACCGGGCCAAGGTTGCGTGCATGCAGCCTTCGCATTCCGACTCAGTCAACGTGTAGAAACTTGTCAAGCTCGAACCACTTACACCACGTGCGCGGGAGACCAACCAAGACGAGGGGCGCGACGCCGAGGTAGCGCCATCGCATGACAACAATTGGTCAATATTGTCGTTCTGTCTAGCTTTTCTGCAGCGCCACCAAACATGCATCTCCGTACACGCAACGTTTCGTGACCTAGCCCTAACCTCAATTCTCAATGTAGGCAACCGCGGCGCGGTCCTGCGCCCAATGATCTCACCAGCTCGCCACTGGCATCGCCGCGGTCGCCCGCTCACTTGCTCTCAACGCGATCGGTCGGCGACATTCATCTGCCTCCAGGGCTCCAACGCCCCGAGCTGCGCCGTCTTGCGACTGCGCCACAAGCCATGCGGCGCTCCGAGGTATCGCCGAGCCGCCTCAAACTGCCACCGCTGTCGGCGCGCGGGCCTACACCCCAATCTAGCTATGATCTGTCGAGTAACAATGCATAAGACTCCTTTTTCTTGTTTTCCACGTGAAAAATATTTCTTCATGTTGAGTTTGAGGCAATGTGCGACATGATTGGTCGATTGAAAGATACGTTTTTTCGAGGCGACAGGTCAACATGCAGCGCAAAGGGTCGATGCGGCCGCCACCGCGCACGATCCGAGGCAGCGTCGACGAAAAGGCGCCGACTCTCGAGGCGAGTGACAAGAAGCCACGTAAAGTGCGTGACGAAACCATCGTCATCCACGTGTGCGACGAATTTCGCAAGGTCAACCGGGACTTTACGTGCAACAAGGCGCTGCTGCTGGAGAATATGCGGTACTTTAGCGCCTATCTGAGTGACGCGGGCTCGAACGAGGACATTGACATCTCGGTGCACTGCGACGTCGGCATCTTTGAGTGGCTCTACAACTACGTGCACGCGGCCAACGGCGTCGGCACGTCGCCACTCACCAAGCTCGGTGTCGAGAACGTGACGCCGATTTTGATCTCCTCCGACTTTTTGCAAATGGACTATCTTGTCAACGAGTGCACGTCGTTCATTGGCACCCATCTCGAGTCGGTCGTCGACATGCCGGGCGACCTCCTCTGCGTCTCGGAAGCCATTTTGGACGCGATCGCGCTCAAGTGCTCCCTCGAACAGCTCGATATGATTGAGCCGCGAAAAGAAAAGCTCTGCTACAAGCTCTACACCAAGCGCATCGGCCATTTACTCGGGCATCTCAAGCAGCTCGAGACGAGTCTGAACCAATGCGCGGCGTGCGGCGTCATTTACTATAGCGGTCACATCAGCGTCTTGCACTGCCGCGACGCAATTCCGACAATCGGCGCATTCGGCCAAGTGCTGTCTCGCCACGCGCCACGCGGGGATTGGAAGGTCGATCCATGGCTCAAGGCGCTCGCTGCATCGCCCAAGACGACCTACTGGAAGCTATGGGGTGCGCTCCAGTGCTTTTACTGTGTCGAGTGCCACACCTTCTTCACGGGCTCGGAATTCAAAGAGTGTGTGCACCACCCGCCGTCGCCGCCACCAGCGAGTACATCGGTGTCGTCAGGCCTCGAAGCCTCGACGCACCACGCGTGCTGTGGCGCCCCCAGGTTTGCCGCCGACGCCCGCGCGACCCGTGGCTGTACATATAGAGACCACGTGCTCGGTCGTCCGTACCAGGTGCGCGAGTTTTACGCGCCAGAAAGCAATTTGAGCCGCCTGCACGAGCTCGCGGTGACGCATGGCGACCTCATTGCGCGCGACAAGCCGAGTGTGCCGCCGGTTTCAACAGCACTTTCTGCTGGTACTCCTGCTGGTGTCGCCGTGCACGACATGCTGCGCCCAAGTGTCGTTGCGCGCAAGACCACGCTGGCCAATGTTGAGGTACCAAGCGACCTCATCAAGAGCCTCAAGTCCAACAGCGCCGATCTCTCGACTCCGCAGACGCGCAAGCAGTGGAAGATTGACCTGTACGTGACTCCATTTATCGCGTTGGCAGTCCCTTATCGGTGCATAGATTGCAAGAGAAGGACCGCATCCGTGTGCAGCTTCTCTCGTCAACGTTGACCAAGATGCGCACCGAGTACCGCGCAGCCTTTCGGTGAGGAGGGTATTGCTGTCTATGGGCCTGCATATCACAGCTAAGTCAACCACACTCTGTTCTCATCGCTGCGCGCTTTCTGGCGCTGCTAGCTGGTACTGATGGGTGCCTCGTCAGCTCGGACAGTGGACTGGCGATCACGTTGGAAGGGATCATCCTCCTGGGCAGCTGCATCAATAATGTCTCGTGGCGGGGAACATGTAGCCAGGTGCAACCCATCGCAACCTTGCAATGACACACTCGAAAAGCTCGGCAACCTTGGCGACATCAACTCTAGTAGCATGCTCCGTAGAGTGCTAGCTAATACCGGTAGCGAGAGCTATGACGTGGATTTCAGCCCGCCCACGTTCTCGACTGCACCATTGCGGTGATGCCATTGGTGCAAATCACCCAATTACAATAGATTCCTCTATATATTGATATATGAATCTATGCCTGATTGCAGTGTATCAAATGGTAGAGGTGTTTGCCCTTTCCGGTCGCATCCAGATCTGAACCGCGATGGCCGCCGAGAAGACGCACTCAATCCACACGACCGACACGTTCACGAACGACCGGTACGTGGAGCTCTTCTACCAGTCGGTCGTGCCGCAGATCGAGACGCTGCAAGGCGTCATCGTGTTTCTCCACGGTCTCGGCGACCACTCGTCGGGCTATCTCGACTTTTTCGAGCGGCTCGCCGAGGCTGGCTACGCCGTCTTCGCGTTCGACTACATTGGCCATGGCAAAAGCGAGGGCGAGAGGGTCTACCTTGAGCGCAGGTAAAGCCGACATAGATTCTGAGAGGCTCAGCACACCACTTCTCGGAGTTTATAGTTGTTGACAGGTAGTAACAATTATATCTCAATAGACTCACTTCAACAACAACTTGCGAAGGTAAACCTTGAGTCCCACGTACGTACTCTTGCAAGAAAGTACTACGTCGCACCAACGGCCAAGTGCTTCTGGTGCATTAACGTCCACGCTTTTAGCGTATGTTCACCGGGTATCAACATGGGAACTTACAAAATGACTCATCAGTCAGTCTTCCATCGCAACGGCCGACGACGACGAGGCACTCTGCGAGGCACATCGTATACTTCCCACCGCTCGTCGTGACTGACGACATGTTTGCACGCTCGATGATGCAGCCCATTGATTGGATGGCAGTGTAAACAATCAAACTATCAAGTCGAAAGTACGGAAAATATCAATCCACGAGAGCGTGCAAGAGCTCACAGATGAAGTATTGTGAGTGACATGAGCTGGAGTACAGGGGCTAAGCAATAGGGTAAGGGTACGGCTGTGCCACCGCTCGTTGCAGTACGCTTGTGCGCATCGTACTTGGTCCCAGTCGTCAGTGTCCAATTTGCGTTAACTCGAGCACCCACGCCGTCGATGCTCATGCACAAGAGCCTCTCGCTTTCGTGTGCGACCGAGCACAAACAAATCGCAGCGGGCGAGAAGAATGCGACGACGTTTGTCAACTGCCACATCGAGGCCCCCAAGTGCGACGACAACGAGCGCCAGCCGATCGACCTCGTCATCGTCCTCGACAAGTCGGCGAGCATGGCCGAGATGAGAAACTCGCTTTGTGCAAGACGACGCTGACGTTTCTGTCGCGGGAGCTCTCGGCCACGGACCGCGTGAGCTTGGTCGTGTACGACAGGGACGTGACGACCGTCCAACCCCTCACGCTCATGACGCATGACGGGAAGGCGCTCTTCGAAAAGCGCGTCCGCGCCATTCAAGCCGGAACCTGCACGAACCTCAGTGGCGGTCTCTTCGCTGGTTTGGATGAGATTCAACGCCATGAGCGAAGCGATGGCGGGTCGCCCAACCCTATCCGGTCGGTGCTCCTCTTGACGGATGGACTTGCCAACTACGGAGTGGTAAAGTCGTTGCCGCTTTTAAGTATCCTAGAGAGCTGCTACAACGACGCCCCCCATCCCACCGAGCAAGCTAACGCTCCTCCGACCGGTAGACCCGAGCCGTCGTCGCCCGTGTCTCTCTTTACCTTTGGCTATGGCGACAACCACGACGCCAAGCTCTTGCGGTGCATCTCGGAC